GGTTGATATGTTATAGTCTCCTTTATTTGAGTCAAGTTTTTGTGTGAAATAAGTCTATCCGCTTGGTAATAATATTCAAGTATGATCTAGTTTGGTTTAAGGCCATATGGTTTAATCTACTTAAATTTACTTATATTTAATGTGATCTATGATGCTACCTCTGTCTAGTTTGGATCGAAGTTTAAGAAAATAAGAATAAAGTGAATATGTATAGTTGTGGTTGAGTAATAAATAAATAAATAAATGATAGTCACACAAACCTTTCTAAAAAAGGAATTGAGAAGAATTTTTAGGATGACCCAAAAAGGAAGTGAGAAGAATTTTTTGGGACGAAGATAGTATGATGTAATCTATTACTACCTCCGTCCCATTAATATTGGGGCAAGAGAGATGACACAGTTACTAAGAAAAGTGAGTTTATGTGGTTGTATTGAATTGGTAAAGTAAGAATAATTTACTACTACATAAATTTTATCAAATTTAGTATAAGACAATCGATCTTAGTGGATGGATTTGGAAAGATGAGACAATCATAGCGAGACGAAACTTGAAATTTGTCCACCTAGAATCATGTAGTACCCCGATTCTGCCAAAGTTGTCCTAAATTGATTTGCAAGTGAATTAATAAAGTAAACATTTTGTGATCAATATTTGTAGAAAGAAAGAATAAATGATTAGAACCACATATTTATTATGAGGCTAAAGGGTCAAATAGGTACATGAACTAACTTAAAGTGTTCAATTAGCCCCTTATATAGGAGGTTCTGCTCGGCCGTCGCCAATTGGTGCGGTTCCTGGTGGCATTGTTTTCTGAATTTTTTTGAGCATCTTCTTCATTATGTCTAGTTTACCCATACCAAATTTCAGCTAAAAATTCAACCGGGAAGGCAATCAAATGATTTTTTGAAGATAACTGCGCAGTTAAACAGCGCAGTACATTTCGGAAAATCATTTGACTGCCTTCCCGATTTAAGTTTTAGCTGAAATTTGATATGGATAAACTAGACTTAATGAAGAAGATTCTCAAAAACAATTCATCAAAAAATTCCATCAGGAACCGCCCCAATTGGCGACGGCCGGACAGAACCTCTTAAATAAAGGGCTAATTGAACACTTTAAGTTAGTTCATGTACCTATTTGACCCTTTAGCCTTATTATGATGGGCATTCATCCAATGTTAAAAGACCTAAATATCAACTTTGTCAATAGAAAAACACTATCTCAATTCCGTCAATATAATTTTTTCCTCCATTCTAACATTAGCAATAAAGTCCACTCTACACACTCTTTTACATTTAGGTTTCATAAAACATTAACTAAATTATTATAACGATCTTTTTCTTTGATGATTTATGAAGAGAAATTACCCTAAATAGAAGTAAAACGTTTGTGTATATAAAAAAGGGACTCTCATTTTTTATTCCCTAAATAGAGAAATTACTAACATGTTTTGACAGTATCAAATTGTAAATATGACAGTATTTTCCACGTTTACCAATAATTACTCGATTTAGAGAATAAAAACAAGGCAGTTCATTTTGAAATCTAAAACGTGTTTACTTCTATTTCAAAAAACTTCTCTTTATTTGTGAATAAATATAAAATACAAAAAGAAAGGAGAGAGTCGCCGCTCCCGCTGATTCGGTGCTGCCACTGAAACACTCCTCGACAGCACAACCCCCCCTCGTCTCTGCACCGCCGTCACACATACTATTTCGTCAGCCACCACCACAACCGAGAACCTAGTCTTCTCCTTCTCCTTCTTCTTCTCCTTCTCCTTCAACTACTCCTCCTCCTTCTAGTACTCCTTCTACTCCTCATGCTCCTTCTCCTCCCCCTCTTCCCCCTCCACCTCCCCTCCTCCTCCTTGCTTCCTCCGTTCCACAGAGATATTCCCGTTTCGATTTACAATGCTTGACTCGAGACAAAGCAACTTGATCCATGTTCACACTATGATTATTTTTAATAAATAAAATTAATATATTCGGAAACTACATTAAAATTTTTACAAAGTCTGATCTAGAAAATTTAAATTTGATAAAAATTTGATTTATAAAGTAAAAGATTAGGAATGATTTAAGTTGACCATGTGAATAGTGGACGAGAACCTTTGAATGGGACGGATGTAGTACTTATTAAAACAGTGTCAAACACATCTCAACCGTTTGATTTGTCTTAATGTTTTAATATGGCCGCTGATGCAGGGTGACGTTATGCTGACATCATGAACACCATTTATTTTACAAGTAAATTCTTTAAACAAGATTAAAATTAGGATCAAGTTCACAAATAGGACAAACTATGTTTTGATTTCCAAAGTACGAGTTATTGACTCCTTTCAGATGTTTTAGAGACCATTTGGAGACCGTATATTTCGGCTTATCAACCTTATCAACTAATTTTTCCACCAAACACGTAATTTTTGATTTCGCGCGCTAAATTGTGTAATAAAAAAAAGTAATGTTAATTTTACTTTTTTGGCTATGTTGGTTGAAGTTATTGTAGATGAACATTTTAGCTATTTCTTCATATACTTTTTTCTTTATTTTATTAATAAAAAATACTTTAAATGCGATTTTTTCATAAATCAGCAGAATCAGCGAATGCAGCCACTTCAGCCAGAACTTCATAATTTCAGCAGAATCAACCAATTCAGTTGATTTCAATGTTACCAAACGGATTCATCAACTTATTCTTTGAATAGGACTAAATAAGTCATGTTTGAGAATAAATCACAGTTAATCCTATTTGTGAACTTTGTGTATATTAAACATTTACTACCTCCTTCCCAAACACCTTTTGTCATTTTCAAAATTTTGATGAACTATATATTTTTATTGAAAATAATTTATAATATAATAGTTATATAAAATTGTTCTTTATTAAAAATACTTTCATATAAATATATAAATTTTATAACTTCTATAATATTATATTCCGTACCAATTAATATCATTGTTCAAATTTTATGAAATGTCAACTTTTTTTTTAGTACTATTTACTTTCATTTCATTGTCTGCGGGCAGACCATGTCCTCCTCCTTGCGCGCTCTCAATAGGGGTGGACATAAAACTCGAACCGAACCGGTACCGAATCGTCCCGTAATGGTACCGAATTGAATACCGAGTATTTAAACAGTTCTATAGATTTTTATCACGTACCGAAACCGTACCATTTTAAACGGGTATGGGTCCGGTCCTAGGTTTTGAGAACCGAAAAATATCGGACCGGACCGCTAAAAAATAATGCATGTTAAATTTTTATATTTTTCCATATCAATAAATCTCTTTTCTAGACCAACAATTTTTATAGCCCAAGTATGTGTTCATGCGTCCCTAAAATAGCCAAATGTGTGTGTGTTTTTTTAACCCGGTAGGTAAACCATCAAAATCAGTGGGGCAAATGCCGGGGAACATTTACCAGATATTATATATATTGTTATTTTTTCTTTTTAGATAATTTATGTTATATTTTGGAATGTATTGAAAGAATGTTAAAGTTTTAAAAAACAGTAATGACTATTCATTTCTAGTAAAGTAGTGTATATGACTTTTTGTTGTATCATGTTTGTGGAATTTTACAACTTAATTAATATGGTTTAAATATTAGCTCTCAAGGTTCAACTATAAATTAAATTAGAATTATACTCCCTCCGTCCCGGAATTATCTTCATTCTTTCCTTTTCGGTCCGTCCCAAATTTATCTCCTATTTCCTTTTTTGGCAAAGAATTTGTGGTTCACAACCATTCTTACACATTTCCCACTATCCTAAATCCCGTGCCCAGTCAAATAAGGAGATAATTCCGGGACGGAGGTAGTATATGGAATACGTAGTAATATTTAACACAGAACAAAGAAGAACGTTGAAGTTTTCTATTATATTCAACAATTTGATGATATTCTTTTTATATGTTCTCATGAACTTAGTAAATTAAAGATGCTATTTATCTCGTGTGTCGTCATTTTGCTATACATTTCTTAGTTGTGTTGCACTATTTGTGTATTTGTAAATTTGAGTACAACGTATGCAATTTTTTGTATTTATATCAACATTTCAAGTGAGTTGGTTGGTGTGATGATATCTACTAATTGCAAAATTTGTCCAATTTTTTTAGCATGTGTTTAGCATTGTACTGTACTGTTTTGTACCGTTCGAAAAAAACATGGTACCAAATGGTTCCATCCTTTGAACCGGATCGTACCAGACCGTTAAAAAAACCTCACGGATATATTACGAGTTTTACTAATTTACCGGACTGTTCCGGACCGCCCCCACCCCTACTTCTCAAAGTCTTTACCAAAGTAAAATGAATGAATCTCAATCTTTTTCTCGCAAACAATTTTCTAAACAAAAAATCTATTTGTACACATTCTGTTATACACGTTTTTATACACTTATCTAAAGTAACGAGATTCACAGACAAAACTTGTCTGTGGATATTTTTTTGTCTGTGACAGACAAAACACATCGATTCAAAAACAAAAAATGACCTGTCACAGACAAATGTATAAGAATATGTATAAGAACGTGTACAAATAGAATCATTTGAATTTTACAAATAGAATCATCTCTTTTCTAAAGTACCGAGAATCCTTTGAATTTTACTTTTCAAATTAATCCGTACAATAAACAATTGAATGTCAAGTCATTGGTCAAGGATTCTCAAGATCTGTCTGGAAATTAACTCAATTTATAAATTGCTAGGGACAGACTGTCCGGACTGGGTTTTGTATACAAACACCCTTGTGGTGTTTTCACTTTTCAGTTTTCACCAAAAACTTTCAATACAATCGGCAGAGTTACTTGTCTGGGCGTCTGGCTAAATTTGATTTCAAATAAATTAAACTGAAATTACTAGTCAATCCAATTCAGTATATCTAAAGTATAAGACAAAAGTATAAAACGTTCACCCTAAAGCTAACCAACCATTGAATTTATACATGATTAAGGCAAGTAGATTTCTTCTCATACTTAATTCTACGCGTATAAGACAAACAATGTGCGAAGGTAATACCTCAAAATCTGCAATGAAATCGTACATCAAAAAGATTTGTACTAAAAAGAAAAGGAAAGCAAAAGATTATTTCACGGGATCATCAGTGTGCTAAGATTTTACTCGTAAATCCAAATCAAAGTCTCCAGACTACTGAAGTCATACATAAAAAATGATTCTAACACATTCAAGCTAACCCCAAGAATATGTATATAGCAAAAAAGGGGGAAAAAATAATCAAAAGTGCAGCTAAGATCGAACATGTAAAACTACCGTACTGCGGCCCCAATAACAAAGATCAATGTGTGTATACAGACAGTAATGAAAGTAATATGTAGCTAGGCCGCAAAAGCTGCACCTCCGTTTGGTTCATTCGGGTTCGTGCTCTTCCTCTTCCTCTTGATCACAATGGGCCATGTTATGGCTTCCAAGATAACAGCCACAATGCCCAAGGCAATGATCACCCCGGTGTAAGCCTTCTTCCAATTATCCTCCCTCCCCAATGCATCAAATCCCTTGTACACGTTGGTGATGCTCAGTGCAATCGTCGTGTACCCCGCGATCAAATGGTAGTACTTCCAATACGGTCGAAATTTGTGGTCCGGTTTTGGTCTCAAAAACAACGCGGTTAACTGCAGTAGTATATTCAATTGTTATAAGCAGTTCTTCATATAATCTTACTATAGAAATCCAACTAGCTAGTGAATGTGACTGACTACAGAGTCACTGAAAACAATACCAAACCAGTAGTCATTGCAAAGCTATGGAGGCACTTTAATAAGAGCGGAATGTAGGTAGTACCTGAAGAGTGGCAAGGCAGAAGAGAGTGATGCCGATACATCTGTGGGTCTTGAATGTAATTCCCTTGGATTCGGAACCGAGCTTCAGGCCGGTGCCCCAACCCGCGACGCCTATGACGTAACCGGAGAATTGGCAGCCAGCGTGTAGATAGAACCAGGCCGGGTCGGCTGATGGGATTACCTTCACGTACCTTGCAATCATCGCGCCCATGGGCATCAGTATACCCCAGCTGATGGCGTTCAACACGCCATGAATCTGCGGATGATCAAATTCCGGTCAGTCAATTCAGAGAGACAAAAATACTTATATACACATAAAAACTTTAAAAACTAAAATTTTAGGGATTCTAATTAATTGAAAGGTCGATCGGAAGGCTTACGTTTCTTCTGCGCATAACAGACGTGACTACGTTTCCACCGGAGGTGGTCTGGCCTGTGGCGAAATCGACTATCTGAATAGATTGTTTGTTCGCGGGGGTCATATCGTGAATTCCAGGGGAGGTGCCGGAGAGGGGGCCCTTTTGCCAGACGGTGGTGAAACTGGTCTGGTTGGCAGGGAGGAGGACGGTGGCGAATATGACCACCTCTTGTTTGGCGAACTCGGCTGAGATATTCGGAACCTTGAAGCTCAGTGTGCCCTGCGCAAGCTGAGTGGCGTAGCTGGTGACAGGGGAAGTGTAGGCGCGGAATCCGCCGGCGGCGGTAGGAATGGCCACCAGGCACTGCGAGCCGACCATCCCCTTTCCGACGAGATTGAGTGCCCAAGACACCCAGTTGGAGGCGGAGACATTGGTCTGGCGGTAGGCGATGTCGGCGGTGTGGTTGCTGCTGTGGTAGGTCCAGTGGAGGAAGGAGTTGAGGACCGGAAGACGGATGCAGGTGGCGAATTTGGCGTTGTTGGAGAAGACGTGATCCGAACAATTCTGAGCGTAGCAGTGAGATGCCATCAAACCCAGAATCAACAGCGGAATCCACATGAGTCGATTCATCGTTTCCGTGTGTTCTTCGATCAGAGAATCTGACTGCGTGGCCTATCTATCCGCTCTCCGGCCGGGACACTCGTCGTGTTCTTGCTTCCTCCGCCCAAAACAACGTCGGAGAGGTTCGAGATCGAAATTAATTATCGAGAAAAGAAGTAGGTTGGGGACAGCATAGATGGGTGAAATTTGGGAAAGGTGTGGCTTGACATCTTATAGATTTCTCGTGGCGGTGGGTGAAATTCATTTAGGAAAGTAAATTCGGTACGAGTGCTTTGAAATTTGAATAGTCCTACTCCTATCACGCCTTTTTCTTTTACATGAAAACGGAATTCAACTTATTACTCCGTATTTATTACTGGGTAAAAACGTTTTAATAACGGTGCGTAGTACAATTATTCATACCTAAATTAACTACTAGTATTAAAATACTCCAATAATACCCACATTAACACTTATTCAAGGCCCAACATGTACTCCGTATATTACTACGTATATCACAAAAATGATAGAAACACTTTAAATTTCAATTCGGCTCATTTTGATTGCAAATACTCCGTATATTCTTTATTTTTATTCGATAATGTTGATATTAATTTACTTTTATTTTCTCTGAACGTCATTTTCATTGATTTAGTCTCACAAGTTTTCCTTCTATTTTATCAGCAAGGACCACAAGTTTTTCATTTGCGGTATGGCACTCAATTAGTCCAATTTGTATTTACTCCCTCCGGTTCTTATTTAAGTTCTTAGTTTGACTTCACACATATTAAGAAAATGAATTTGACTTTACTGTGGAGTGCACTGTTTGGCACTGTTTTGCACTGTTTTGTTTCCTAAAATGGAAGTGTGAACTTAAATAAGGGATATCCCAAAAAGGAAAGTGAGAACTTTAATAAGAAGAGGAGGGAATATAAACAAATGAACAGATTTTATACTCCGTACAATTTAATTTGTTACGTAATACTATCCTCCGTATCTCATTAATTGCAACATTGGAATATATAGACTATTCATGTACTTTACTTTGACTACATTTTATTTATTAATGTATGTGAATTAATTTTTTTGAAAAATGTTGTTAAATTCGTCTCATTACTAAGTTTTATAATCTAATTTTTATTTTATTTTTACTAATACATAATTAAATATAATGACGGTCAAAGTTGTGTATTTGAAAACGTGAAATGTTGACTGTTGCAACTAAAAAGAGACGGAGGAAGTATAACACACGGAGTACTACGTTCAAACAATTAATCTGATACATGTCCAAATTCCTACACTTGAATTAATATTTTTATAGGTCGGTAAATATTTATTTAAATACTCTCCATTTTTTATATATATGCTCGACAGAAATGGTAAACTGGCCGGTAAAAATAAATGGTCAAATAGTGTTAAGTATTCTTTCAATTGTTGAGATCATACTCCGTATTTTCTAATGTCAATTCTAAATTGTCTATAGATGAGTAGGGTGGGCACAGTTCCGATCGGTTTGGGTAATTGATAAATTTTCAAGAACCGTCGGTTCCATTTAACGGGTAGGTTCAGTCCGGGTATACAATGTTTCGAAATAGGAACCGAACCTTACCCGCCCCGTTTGAAACGGGCTGGTTCAGTCGGAGTTCTCGGTTCGTCTTTTATAAAAAAAAATACTACTATGCAAGCAAAGTTTCTAGTAAGTTATAAAAATTTCAAATTAATTACCTATTAATGTAACCAAAATATAATAAAAATTCAAAATATAAGTATAAGATAAAATTTTAAATTTGTTAACAAAATATCGAACCACAAATCTATAAATTAAACAACACACAACCACCTTATTCAATATATTAATCATCATTCATAAACTAATTTAAAAGATAGCACCATAAATTCACAAGAAATTAAACTAGTTACTATACATATTTGTCTATGAAAATAATTTAAAGCTTATTAAATCTCCAAGTATAAGTAAAATTAAGATAATTAAATGAATATGTCACACTTCATTGAGTAAGAGTCTTTGTTTACAAAAAATATTAAAGAAAGAAAGTTTGAAGCATTTGAAATACTATATATAGAGGAAAATAATTTAGGAGTTTAATTATACGGACTTGGAAATTATTTTTAGTAGAGTGAAAATTTTCTTTAATTGGAAGATTTATCTAGACACAAGAATATGAAGAACTTTCGTGTCTATTATACTAATATTAAATATAATAGAGATTATTAAAATAATATTTTAAAACGGTTCGGTTTGGGTACCCGTTTTTCAAATTTTAAGACCCGTTCGGTTCCTAAGTTTTTCAGGACCCGCCCCGCCTCGAATCGCTTGGGTTTTCTAAAATTAGGACTCGACCCTAACCCACCCCGAACCTGTATTACTCGGCCCGACCTGCGGTTCCGGTACCCGTTTGCCCACCCCTAGATGCGAGGGAAATGCTAGGGCTCTTTGACTACTTCTATGTAGCTTTTAGTCCGTATACTTGTGTGTGATGACTGAGACTCGTAGATGCACTTCTTATACTAAAAAAAGTGTTCCAAAAAAAAATTAAAAATATTATTTTGGTGTGAAAGCTTATATTTCATGCGGAGTATCAATGAAATAGAGGCCATCATGTATTCGTCATTCTCTAATCCCTTTTATACCCTGTGTTGTTGATCCTGTTTTTATCATATATTTAATTTTTTATTTAGGCGTTGAATTGTGTAATAATCAAAATAAGTGAAGTTACAGTTCTTTTCAGACCGAATTGGCTGAATTTTCTGTGGAGAATCGTTTTAGCTACTTTTTCATATACGAGTAATTTTTTCTTTATTTTATTAATAAAATATATTTTGAATATAATTTTTTAATAAATCACCAAAATCATCACTTCAGCTCTTAAATGTAATCTATGCACAAACACCAAACATGGATTATTTAAGTTAACGAATGGACTATAAAATTCCAATTACACATTATTTAAAATATACCTAACAAATGAATAATTTTGGAAAATAACTATACAAATAAAAACTGAATGGAAATTATAAAAAAAAAATTAAGCGTACACTGTATTTTAAAGTAAACCACTAATTATTACTCTGTAGAAAAGTTAATTATAGTAAGACATATAATTGTGGGGCAAACTTTGCACAACTTTAACCCAATCCGTCTAATCATGTATGGGTTAAAAAGGGTATCCCGTGAACCAATGTAAAAATATACGTAGTATACACCACAAAAGACTTAAGACAGAATTACTTAAGGAGTACATTTATATTGATAAATAGTAATTAAGAAAATGTAAAAAATCATAACACCCAAAACTTATTAATAGTGAATTGCAGTCAACGTTCTTTAGGATGGACAAAAGAGAATGGATGTAACATGCAGAGTTAACGGTTGTTGTCACGAGATGGTTGTGATAGGTTCCGAGAATGATTCTTGGTAAACAAACTATAAACTTATTTTAAAAAGATTTGAATCTGAAGGCTTGGAAAAGAAGGCAGTCAAAGTCCACGTGTAAATTGAGTCAAGAAGCGCGATACATAAATGGAGCAGCCGTATAAAGGAAGTCGGGGAGAAGCTCCCATGTTTCCTTCTTTAATTCAACGCGCAATCACGCCGCGTACTCTTTTTCTAGTCCCCGGAGCATAGCAATATGCCCAATGATTTCGCCGGCCTTGCAAAACGTTGATAATTTCGCCAAATAATTTACTTCCGAGACATTTCACACTTGCCGAGACACAACTTTGATCATTAATATAACTGATTTTGTATTAATCAAAAATTTAAAAAATTAGATTATGGAAATTTACAATGAGACAAGTTTAACAATATTTTTTTCATAAAATAATATTATTACATTAATAAATAAAACGTAGTCAAAGTAGAACATGTGAATAGTGTAAAAGTCAAAGTGTTGCATTTATTTAATAATGGAGGTAGTAAGAAGTACTCACTCCGTCCCCCTAATATTGGTATAGAAGGGAGTGATGTGGTTTTTAAGAAAAGTAGAATCATGTGGTTGATAATTAATGAGTTGATAAAATGGAAATAAAGTAAGAATGAATTAGATCCACACAAATGTTACCAAATATGGTATGGAACAATAATAAAGGGACATCCAAAAATGAAAAAATGGGACAATTATAGGGGGACAGAGGGAGTGTTCGCAGACTATTCTAAGTCTCAGTCAAACAGATCGGATCTCAAACTTAACACATGCAATTAACGCAACAAGAAAAGTAAAAGACACACGATATGTTGACGCAGTTCGGAAGAAAACCTTCCTAATCTGCGGGGTTTCAACAGGGGAAACCCGTTCCCAAAATTTCACTAGCTCAGATTTCAAACAGATTACAATCAAGATGGTTGCAAAGCAATCAATATACAGTACATGCAATCGGTCAGGAATATCAATTAAGAAACAAATAACAGAAAAAGGTTCAGAGATAACCGAACGAAACCCTAAGGCTTCGGAAGATGACTGTCGGGCTCCCAGTTCTGAACCACGTTTCAAGCTCTCCTCCAATTCCTCAGATTTCACGCAATCTCCTCTTTCTATTACCGTCCTTGCTAATCTCAGGCTCTCGCGCAGAAAACCAGCAACGGAAAAATCACTTTCTCACTCTAGAACAACCCCTCTCTTTCTCTCTATTTAGGGTTTTAACGAAAAAGCTCAGAATGAATTCAGTCGAAGACTCTGGAGACGGAAGTGGTTTATATACTTAGGGTCCACGCAGTATAAAACCGGTCCTTCCATTTACCAAGAGGCCCAACTAAACAAAATAGCCCAAGACAAAGAAAGGAAAGAGAACATAACAGCTCTAGGTCCAACCCAATAGCATAATACAAAAAATTGATTGCTTTGCCATCCTATCCAAAATTGTAAAACTAGGAAATAATTAGAGAATTAGGATTACTAATCTCAACAATTTGTCCTCCTAAGACTCATTCTCAAGTCATCTTAGTCATTAGGTATCATCATAGCCAGCTTGTTGGAATCGATTTGGACAACTTTAGTACCAAAATCAGCAGGATTAACATCTCGAGTTATCTTTTCAATAGAAACATTTCCCGTAGCAATTTCATCCCTTATATAACGAAATCTAACATCTATGTGTTTAGTTTTTTCATGATACATGTGATCTTTACAAAGATAGATGGCACTCTGACTATCAGAAAAAACAACAGGGGTCACATTTTTTCCTAAGACTTCACCTAGAACACCCTTAAGCCATTTGGCTTCTTTAATAGCTTCAGTGGCTGCTATGTATTCAGCCTCTGTG